GCACACCCGGATATGGTGCTGCCTGCATTGACCCTGATACAAACTGCCCCACCAATGTTGAGGTCAACATCCAAGCCGTCGCCGCCCGCCCTAAAATGCAAGGGGGGGAATTAAGTCACCCCTGAAAAGACGGCCTAGCCGTTTTTTCGGGGCTCAAAAAAAAATAAGACCCGGCCTTATTCTATGAAAAACACGGTACAAGCTTCAAATCTCTAATAAAATAATTATTAAAAGGAAGGTTTAAATAAGGGTTTCTTCTCAAGCTAATACTTCAACCCCAAGGAATAGATATTATTCATACATTCCAGAAATGAATAATTTTCAAATGCCTTCATAGAAAATACAGAATAATCTTTAATGTCTAAGAAACTCTTATAATTCTATAAAAGATTTCACAATTGGGTCTTTTAGCATTTGGACTCATAAAACAATTGCTGGTTATAGTTTGCATGTTTGATATTGTTTCATATTAGTTAGGAAGAAAGACAAAACACCAAGAATTGTTTAAAAGTTGAGGTAAAGACAAGGCTAGCTGGAAAGGGAGGAGATGGAAGTTCAACAATTCCCTAAATTAGACTAGTTAGAAGATCTAACAGGCTGGGTAAGCGAGGGTGGGGGGGAGTATATAAAGAAGAGAACTAGGGATGCATGATGGAAAACAGTATGGAGCAAAAATAATAATTAGTATGAAAATTCATAATAACCTCACTAATTTAATCATTGCTTAGTAAGGTAGCAAAGGTTTTACTGACAATAAATTGATTTTGTAAGAATAGTAAGCAACACAGGGATAGGTTCTTTAAATGTTGGAGGCTAGGTGATCCAATTAAAGAACTAGAATCAGTTAATATTTAAGATCCTTCAATCTATAAGTTACAGAAAATATGTACATCAGAAAAAATTAAAGATTTTAGAACCAAGTCAACAAAGATAATCATCTCATTTTATGCTAATATAGACATTATGTAGAAAAGATTCAAAAACATAAAGGAAAGATTGATTTTTATTAAAGGGAATTTTGATAGTAAAATTATAACCTGGTCTCTATCTATATACTAAGTCAGAGTAAATCAAATTTATACAAAAATTCATGAAAGCCTTAAATAAATTTGGCTAGAAAAATTTGGTCCTATGGACTAATTTAAATATTGATGAAGGTGCAACAGTTGATAGAACAAATAATCCGGAAAATAGAAGATAGCTTTTAGCATCTAGATTTGCAGAATTTGATATAACTGTATGAACATACCGATATCTCTAACACAAAGCATTCACTCACAAAGAGTTTTACATATTATTCAAAGAGATACCAATCCCATTTGAGGATAGACTATATTTGGGCCTTAATTATTTTTTAATAAATTAGTCTAAACAGAGATAATCCAATATATAAGAAGTGAAAATACAATGTAAATGAGCAGAATAAAAAGATATCAACAAAAATAATGAATGTATTATTTATTTGTATCCTGTTTGTATTATTTTTAAATAATTCAAGGCAGTGAACATATGCAACACACCTTCTTCCTATTATTTTTCCCCACAATCCTGTGAGGAGAATGACTGGCTCAAAGTCATCCAGCTGGCTTTCATGGCAAAGAACTTATGGTTTCCCGCATTCCAGCCTGGTACCCTAACCACTAAACCAAATGGGGTCTTCTGGTATTACCTTCAGAATTATATGGGTCAGACTTAATTAATATATACACCTAAGCATTAAGAAAGGGAAAAGGATATTTAGAAACTGGGATAATTATTAGCTCATTTTTTTTTACTTTTAAATAAAAAATACTATGTATTTAACAATAAAAACTCAAGATTATTGGAAAATAAGCTTCCAAAAGGTAAAGGAAAGTGTTATAAAAAGGCAATAAATGATACTTATGGTGAAATCATCAATACTAAACATCTTATTTAAAACTTTATTTATCAAGCTTGTATGCCACCCAACTCACTGAAGGCAACTCTAGTTTGCTAATGCTTCTAAAAACTTTGTGATAGAAAAAGTAAGTACTCAGATAACCTAAATTTTCTGGTGCTGTGAATATTTTTACAATTAGAAGTTTATAGCTTTTTAAAAAAAATATTGAAAGTAGAAAATTCCTAGGTTCTAACATGAGCTCTATAAGGCATTTAAATATATTATTAAATGAGATTTTTTGTCATTAAGGTAATTTTCTTCTCATGCTAGTGCAATTCCAAAATACCTTTAATTCCTAAATCACACGATTCATTAGAATTATCTTCTTCCAGACTTATCTCTGTCCATATTTATTATAAATAATCTACTAGACTACTAGCCAATTTAACATATCAATTTAATTATAGGAGAAATTATGCAGCCTAACCAGATTTCATTCCAAAAAGAAATATATCTAGCCCTACCAGGAAACTGTTAATTATTATTCACTCTTGAAAATTTTCTTTTTCAGTATGCTCATTAGAGATCGTTAAAGCAATTGACTGTATAGAAAGCACTATTTTTAAAACAAACTTTAAATCTGGCAATTACTTTTTCAACACAATAGATCAGATTTATAATATAATCAATGCCCAATAAATAATACATTACTTATATTACCTATTATATAGTCTTCTGGAAGAAAAAAAGTAACATTTATTTCTCTCTTTCATATTTTCTAGCAGCACCTATGTCTTGTTGTTTTCCACTGTGAAGGAAACAATATATCTGAAATACGTTGCCTTAAAAAAAATTAAAACGGAACTCCTCAGTCCTTACGTGACATTTCTATTCTTAATTTTTCTAGTATTAAACAAAAAAAACCTTAATTTTTCTTTCCCGAGGTGTTAACATTGTGTCAAGCACCTATTGAGGGAGTCTGAAATTTTTGAAAAATTAAAGTTTTATCATTTTAACTGCCTCGGTTCAACCAAAATGTTTGAATTACACATAAGTCCCCATCTATCCTGGCTAACAGAGCTCCAACTTAATTTTTTAATAAGAAGGCTAAAAATTAGCAATTATTTGCTCTTTCCAACCCAAAAGGAAAATGTCAACAATTGGCGTTTGGAATGTTAGAACTGGAATGTTAGAACTAAAGGTGAGTGACACACCGTAGGTTTAAAAAAAGCAATGTAACTAACTCACAGGTTTTGTTACTTACAAACCTAAGTGCACCAACATAAGCTGTATAGACTCTGGTGCAGTAAATACATCAACACGAAACCTATAAAATTGTACCATACACTTGGTTAGGTTTCCTGCAGTGGCACAAAATAGTAAGTCACCTCTTCACCTCTGGGGCAGTCTAAATTTTTATTCTGAGTAATAATAGTTTTCACCTTGAAGGTGTTTTATTGAATAGTCTGATACAGGTAGTCCTCAACCTATATCCACAATTGAGCCCAAAATTTCTATTACTAAATAAAACAGTTGAATTTTGCCCCATTTTATGATCTTTCTTGCTACAGTTGTTAAATGAATCAGTGCAGTTGTTAAGTTAAATGAATCTTTACTTCTCAGGTGGTCTCAAAACGTGATCACTTGAACCCAGGACTCTGCAACTGTCATATATATATATATATATATATGAGTCAGTTGCCAAGTGCCAATTTTGTAATATTGTAATATTATCACGGGTCACATTTTTCAGCACTGCTGTAACTTCAAACTGTCACTAAACAAATCATTGTAAGTCGAGGAGTACTTGTACAGCCAGTACTCTATGTGCTGCCGCATTTTATTAAGTTTCAGAATCAACTCAATAATTTTCTATTGTATTACTGCCTATGTGGGAAGATCTGCAGGTGATTTGAACTAGGGTTTATTTAGCCTAGGAAGCCTAATCTAGCCTAGGATGAAATTATGTTTCTATAAGTGCTATCCTAGTACATCATCGTTTGGTGAAGGGCAATGGCATACCAGAACTAAAAAGTACCACTAACAGCTTCATGGAGGATTGAAAAAAATTCCACAATTTCTAGCTAACAGCCAGTAATAATAGCTTCCAGCCTCTTGCAATGCTCCCAAATTCATATTCTGGCAAATTCTTTAAATCAACATGTGCTGATTCAGATGTCACAGAAAACTGGTTTCAGAAATTGATAGCTTTGTTAAAAGTAGAGTGCATGAAGTACATGGAGCTGTAAAGATAAGATAGTTCATATACAACTTGTTCCTAGGATGGTATTGCATAGATTTCAGACTAAAAATATATCTGAGGCAAGCCTTTACGATTCAACTTCTTAATTATCTACAATAAGGAACAGTACATACTGATATGTAGCAGAAAAAAAGGCAAATACTGTCAGGAATTTTGGATGTAAATTTCTTGCTTTCTTTATATTTCTGTGACTTCTGTATTTGTGTGAAAATTGACAAGAAACACAAATGTAGTTTTCAGCTCGCAAAACTCCTTCCCTGGATAAAATGTTTTCTTAATACACTGAATCATGTTCATTTCTAAAATATGAAATCTGACTAAGATAGTGCAATGTTTCTCAACCTTGATCACTTCAACTCCCAGAATTCTCCATCCAGAGAAACACCGAGTTAGTAAATATGATCTTTAAATATATTAAGTTAAATCATGATGTTTAAAATGGAGCTACAAATTCCAATAAGGTATGACTATTAGGAATATCGTACAAAATACCAGTTATAATCTAATAAGTCTGATCTGTTTAAATTAAAAATTCTTGACTTTAAAAGCAGAGGAGAAAGAATTGTCAGGGAGGGTGGCATAACATTTATTTGAGAAAATAAAAATGAGACATGACATAAAAATATAAATAATGGTGTTAGGTAAGGACATCAAATGCTCCATGGGGAATACACAACCTCAATAGTTTTTTGGAAATCTTATCACAGAAATTGACACGTACATAAAACAGAAAAAAAAGAGAGAGTTCACAAAAGGTTGTCATCAAGTTTTCTGTTTTATTTAAGATTTTAGTTTTAATTCTGAAGAAAGAGGTACATTTCCTTGTTTTTAGTTTTAGCGTCAGGTTATAACCATGTTTAATTTTATGTTTGTTTGTTTTTCCCTGTCTTTCAATACTGCACAAACGTCCAGAAACTACAAGGTTAAGTAAAAGCTGCAGGCAGAGGTCGTCAAAGGTTGCGCTCCTGATGATGAACTTGTGGCCCCAATGCAGTGCTATCTCAGAGTGTCTTAATCAGGTGATTTAAAAAAAAAGAGAGAGAGAGACTGACAAGAAGACAGAAAGATTGAAGTGAATATCACTCGTGTTTCAGCTGCTTATAATTATATTATGTATATGCTAGGTATTAAATCTGTGATATTTTTAAAACATATTTATTTGAAATCTAAAGCCAAAACGTTTAAAAATTCCCTCTGTTAAATCATTTCTTACCAACATGTCAGTTGTTTCTACAGGCAAATTGTCTTTCACCTACTTTATGCCAAAATTTTTCTGACAAAACTGTCCCAACCCTTCAAGAAAAAAAAAAGAGGAACAAAAGTATTTCCCTGTATAATCAACTCACAGAATGCAACATGAATGTTAGGCCACTGCTTTTCCCCAATATATTTCTGCACTGGATTCTGAATTTTGTATTATTTTCTTCTATTGTCAACATGACATTTTTCTGCTACGCTAAAATAATTATGTGCAAAAGATTCATGAAAATATTATGCACTTTGATTTCTCTCTTAGTGTGTTTAAAGAAATAGTTTTTAAACAGTGTACTTCAAACACCGACTCAGCAAAACTTAAGAAAAAAGATAATAGTTATGACCCTGTGATTGCATTGCATTTGGAAGCTGGTTGGGGAAGATTTTTGACCAGGAACCAGATTCTTCAGAAAGAAATATATGAAAGAGGGGCCATAGGTGAGTACAGGAAGTCTGGAAGGAGCCATTCCTGCATTTCTAATGTTTTTGTACTTTTCCTAATGACGATCCAACGCTGAGCTCTGTAGTAAATCTGTGGGGGGTTTACTGGGGGGTCTGAAAGCTGTCTGAAAGCCTGGAGGAGGAGAATGGAAACTGGCAGGGTTTGAAGGAGGGGAATAGGGGTTCCAACTGGCTCTGTGCAATGGAATCTGTGTACTGAAGGGGTTACTGTGGGGGGTCTGTGTTGGGGCAGCACTGGGGCCATCCATCTCTGTGAGAGCCTGAAGAGACTTTAACCAATGCGGTGGATTGTCGTCTTGAAGAGAGTCTAAACTGTTTCCAGTGGAGGCTGGGATACCTAGGAAGAAGAGAAACACAGGAGGAGACATAGGTTACTCAAAGCAAGCAAGAACTACATATATGAAATAGGGCAGTGCAATTTAACCAGTAGCAAGATCAGAAAAATAATTATTAGCTTGCAGAAATGAAATGACTATGAATACCGTTTTTCAAACACAATTGAAGCTGAGTTTTTCTGGGGAGCATTTGTCCCTTAAGAAAAGTCCCTTTTCACACTGCCCAGACAATTTTCCACAGTAACATACAATTACTTTCTTTTCTACCTTTTCAAATCATAATTAACCATTACAAGGAAAACAGCCTTATAAAGAGAGCTTTATAAACAGTGGAGTATGTCCCTTTTTAATGAAAAAAATAATCCAGTTAAAATCCGGAAGCATAGGAACTATATTGCACAGAAATGCATGCCATTATGTTGATGTGGAAACCGACAGAAACCTCAGATATGCTAAGAAAGACACCAAGCATGCAAAAGAAAAGACTGTGGGGTATTAATGTTCATTTGCTCTAAGATTTCTGGGCCTCTTGAAAGTTGGTAGATGGAAGCTGGAAGAGACCACCGCATTTTTTTTCCAAAAAACGTGTATTGATTAATTTGTGCCAAATATGCACTTGATCATTGTCAATGGAGCTGAATGAGCGAGAAATTGTTACCTGTGATGATTGCGGGGTCCATCCAGCTCCCAGGGCTGTCCCAATTCAGGCTGTCGGTTGTGGCAGTGTTGGACGTTGGTACACTGTGGTTGGCGTTGGAGGGGGAAGTAGTATTGGGCAGTCCACCAAAGTTGATGTTAATGTTCGGTAGAAGTGCCCTTAGCCCGTCCTGCCATTCCTTCATATTTAAACTCTCTACAGAACTGTTGTTGTCTGGGAGATTTATCAACAAAAAAAGAAAAAAGAAAATGAAAGATAGAAAATAAAAAGCTGAAGTTAGAAACAGATGCTGTTTTTAGTGAAAGATGGTGGCTCTCTAAGCATTTACAATTGTTTTTCTATCAAGAGAATGGGACGATGATAAAGATGAAGCTTCAGTGTTGAGCTGCTGTAGAATATAGAATTATTTAAACATCTAATGGAGAAAAAAACTAAATGTTTTCCTACTAAATCTGGGCAGAAACTCAACGGTTAAACAAAAGATTGAATCTTCCATTACTAGCAAGGAAAAAAAAATCACATCTTTTATATGAAAGCAGCCTTACTTATTGATAAATTTGCCTGCTTTGCTGAATGGTAGGTGTATTTAGTAGTTCCCTACACAAAGAAGATACAAGCAAGATTATAGAACCCTCACCAGAATTACAGCTATAAAACCCTTCCAAATCTACCTTTTTTAAAAAATAAAAATAAAGAAAAGTTACTAAATACTGAAAGTGAGAACAGTCTAATTTGTCTAAAAGAATGAAGAGAGAAGGACATTCTAACATTTTAAAGAAAGCATTAACAATCCTAAAGTGGAGGACCAAATGCATTATCATACTACTCTGCAAAACTGCAGCAAGTTTACTTTTTAAGGAAGACAAGTTTAGTGGCTATTTTAATGATAATAGGAAACTTCCAACAATTTGATTTTTAATCTCTGAACTTCTCTCAAATATACAATTTAGAAAACACCCCATCAGATGCGGCAACAATCACTTGATTAGGTAATATTGTATTTAAAATGGATTTGCCATAGTTTTAGGAAAAATATTTTTCAACAGTAATCTAAGTAATGGAATGTCTACATCTTAAGGCAATATGCCTTTTTTCGGGGAAATCCCATAGGTATTCTCAGGGGACTATCAGGAGACAAAACTCAAATATTCAAAATGACTACCAAAATATTTCATTAATAGAACCTAAACAATGTGCTTTATTGTATCCTTCAAAAAACAAAACATCACCCTTCTATTGTGACCATAGATTCTGGGACTGATTCAGTAAGTCCGTGTTCAACATATTCAATATAAACCTGAGTTATATAATTCCACTTGTTGCATTTCAAAAGGACAGACCAAACAGACTAGAAAAGAAGGAGATCAGATTAGTGCTGCAGAGTGATTTCTGATTCAGTTTACATATCCATGTATAACTTGTCCTTAACATTTCTTCTTTGACAGGATGAAATTGAATTATTTAAGATGTCTTCAATTAAGATTTGTACCAATACACAGCCAAAAACACTGTTGTATCTTTATCACAAATTTACCCAGTGAGAACGAAAACCATATAGTTATACTACATCTAGTATTTTGCAGTAAGTCACTGCTATTAAACATCTGAACACAAAAAATATTGCTGTTACTAATGCATACAAGAATAATTTTTTGATAGTTGAAGCTTCCTCAAGCTGACTAAACTTTCTCAAGAATTATTTTAAAAAAATAAAATATGTTGGTAAAAAGATCCTATAATGCAGATGTCTATTGTTTAATACTAGCTAGATACATCTGCAACAATTCTTTTCTGTACTTTTTTTTAACTTATTATAAATTGGGAGCTGGGGAATAGAATCAGAAATTTCAGTAGGATTAAACCCACTTAAATCCAGAAATTATAACCGATATTTTTAATTATAGTTTATTCAGTTTAATTCTAAATAATTATGATTTATATTACCTAGAATATTTTATTTACTGACATACACAATGTTTAATATGCTTTTGTTTACAAATATTTTGTATTAATATTACTTTTAATTTTCAGTCATAAAAAGGTATTTAAGTAAAACCCAATTAATATTGTTCTTAAAAAATAGTTATTTCAATTGTTGTTGATTTCTCCTTAGTACTTAGAGATTAGAATGAATTCCCTTTAATGCTGCGCTTCAATAGCATTAAAAAGGGAGATTTTTTTTGTTGAATCATCATCATTATTTGTAGCCTATGACCAAACATATAGTTCCCCCCACCAGTAGGTAAAAAAACTGTAATGTTAGGAAGGAGATCTGTATTAAAAGACATTTTATAATTTTCACTGAGCATACACAATATTCAAAGCTTTTTGAGAAAAAAATGACAGTGGGTCAGAAGTTATTATGTTTGGATTGTTTGGGACTTTATATATATTTATTAGGATTGTAATTATTTCTGGAAATTCTAAAGATCTCTTGATAAAAGTATATTCTTGTCTCCAGCTATCAATACAATTATGTAGTAGTTATTTACTGTATTCACTAATTAAAAAGCTGTTTTTGACTTATAATGGTATATTTAGCGTATCCAAAAATAGTAGAAATAATATATGTGTAGTCTTAAATCTTTTTAAAGAAACTGTTAATTGTTAAGACACTTGAAACAAATAAACAGTGAATCTGACAATAATTGGGCTATTATTACCATACTGGAAACTGAAGGTGTATATATTTACAGTTATATTTACAGTTAAATAGCAATATAACATTTTCTTTGTAAATAGTGAAACATATAATGGTTAAAGAATCACTTAAAACCCTGATCACAGAAATCAAGGTAGTGCTTGATTTACAACCACAACTGAGTCCAAAATTTATATTGTTAAGCAAGACAATTGTTAAGTGAATTTTGCCCCATTTTATGATCTTTCTTGCCACAGTTGTTAAGTAAATCACTGCAGTTCTAAAGTTAATTGAATCTGGCTTCCCCATTGCTTGTCAGAAAGTCGCAAAAGGTGATCACATGACCCTGGTATTATATAATCATTATAAATAAATACATGCCAATTGCCAAGTGTCCAAATTTTGATCATGTGACCATGGGGATGTAGTTGTGGGTGTGAAAAACAGTTTAAGTCACTTTTTCAGTGTCTTTGTAACTTTGAATGTTCACTAAACAAATGGTTGTAAGTCGAGAACTACCTTGGAATCCTTGGAATCAAAAAGAGAAAGATCCTTGGAATCAAAAAGAGAAAGAGAAAAAAACTAAACATTTCCTAAAAACATTTCTTAGTGTGGCATCAGTTTATGCATGACTAAAAAATTGGACAAATTATTCCTTTTTTGGCAACTGAGTAAATACAACATTTAAACATTCAAGCTTTGATACGCTCCTGAAGACTACAAGGGCATAACTGTACGGTTATCTCAGCAACAGTATAGAATATAACAACAATTACATACATTTCACCGAAAGAGGGGGGAGGGGAATAACCATCTATGGTTATGCAAATATATTTTTATATAAATGTACCAGAAAAGTCACTTTAGTTGAAGCATATTGACTTTAATAATGGAAGCACCAGAATTGATTAGCTGACTTTAAGTCTAAATTCACTTAGAGATTATTCTGGGCGTAATTGATTTATTACTTGAAAACTTTTTCTTATTAACCATCTATGATAGAACAAGTATCTTCAAGCTCCTAAGGACCAGTTTAATGATCTACAAATCTAGAATATGCATGTAGACTCCTAATTCCCCTCCAAACAAGGAAAGGGAAAATCCTACATAAAACTAGGTGTCAGAGAAAAAAGTCCAGTTTGTATGTGCTATATATAAAATTCTTTCTTCACAAGGAACATTTTATCATCGATCATCAAACATTTGTGCCAACAATCTAGTGATGTGACCCAAGCATTACTGTAATGATTATATATTATATTAATTATATTACATTACATTGATTATATGTTATACATATATACATACATCAGACACTCAGAATAGCTATTTTTCTTAGCAACATACTGGAACAGTTGGGCAAGATGAGCAAAAACAAATCTCAGCATTGAGTACCTTCAGTGAGGTAATTACTGTTTAAATCCCTTCGATGACTTTAATTTAGTATCATACAGAAGGTGCCTACACAGAATACAATGGTGAAAATTAAATGGATAGTCCATTATATACCAAGTGATTCTTTAACCATTATATGTTTCACCATTTTTTTAGTCAAAGGTTGAAGCTAGCAGAAGCATGTATTTTTCTTTTTTCTGCTCAATACATAAGGAGCTTCAAATTATTGTTATAAACAACCAAACTGTTACATAAACTTCCTTCTGTGTCTGAGGGAATATGTTTGCTTAAATTCCAATTGAAACTTA